GGGGCCCCAAAAGGAACATTTACCAATATTTTCAAATTCTTATCCTTTGATGACATGACAAGTATTGTATTTCACTTAGTTTACATGCTGATTTCCACATCACATCTAAACAATAAAATAAAGCTACCAGTACCTATGATATAACTCAGGTGACCGCTAAGGCCCTTGGGCCTCTTGTTTGAAATATTGGTTAATTTTCCCTTTGGGGCCCCGTCCTTGCCCCAGGGGTTGGGGTAGGAATCCCAGTTTTACAATTTTGTAGCCTCATCTACCAAGACTGATTCTGACAAAGTTTGAAAAAAATTCCATCAACTGGTTCTTGAGAAGAAGTTAAAAATGTTAAAAGTTCACGCACGACGGACGGAAAGCGATCAGAATAGGTCACTTGAGCAAAGCTCCGGTGACCTAAAAATGACCAGGGTGATATTATCTGGCAAAAATGCTTGGATAAAGGGCTTTAAAATGTGTTCAAATGAATGACCTTCAAATATTTAAGGTCATAGGGATCAAATATGTTGAAAATTTTAATCAACTTAAGTTTGTTCATGTGAAGTGTTGTCACACTTCCATGATCACATCTGGTCAATTGTGTATACATTTTTTAAAGTCATTTTCTCAATATTAAAAAGATATAGGGTGGTGATATTTGGCAAGTTGCATTCTTGGATGAAGGGCTATAAAGTTTGTTCAACTTAATGTGCTTGTTTGACTTTCAAGGTCACAGGGGTCAATTATGTTTACATCTTTTAACAGGTTCTTTTGAATGACTGAGTCAAGACACTGATATTTTGCCTGTTGCTTATTGAAGTCCACTTTTAAGGTTACAATTGTGAGATCAACATCAGGTGCGCGATGCAGGCCCTTAGGGACTCTTGTTATATTTTCACAGATATGCAACATTGCTAAGGAAGAAGAAACACAACAACAAGAGGCCAAGTGGCCTGTATCGCTCATCTCTTTCTTTTGTTACATGAAACTGACATATAGGTAACTTCAGACCGAATTTGGTAACTAGAAAACAAGACATTTTAACATCTCTTAAACTGTTCTTAAGATATTGCTGTTTGAAATTTGAAATTTTAATTTTAAAGCTTTCAACCGGCATGTCGACCTTTGACTACGGCTAGCACTTAAAGTTGACTTTTCGGTGTCCGCTCAATATCTTAAATAACTATCAACCGAATAACTTCATATTTGGTAAGAAAGTTAAATGCTACAAAATCTTGCCTTGTTTCGATACCTGTTTTTATCGTGTCAATTTTAAGAGAGTTATTGCCCTTTAATTTTTAAATTCAATGTTTATTTAACCTCCTCCACTAACTATCTTTAGTAAATATAAACCGATTAACATCAAACTTTGTAATAGATGTAAATGCCATAAAACCTTGCAAGTACAATACCTATCCAACCATTGGATAAGTAGTCTTTGGTTGTCCTTATGTCTAATACATGTATCACAGTGTTATAGGAGTGTTATACAGGGTATAGTAAAATTGGTATACAGAGAGTAATGTACTGTATATAGAAATGTTAGTAGTGTACAGTGTAAAGAGGGTGTTATACAATGGATAGAAAGATTGCTATACAGTATATATAGGGTGTTATATAGGGTATAGAAAGATTGATATACAGAGAGTAATGTACAGTGTATAGGAGTGTTATACAGGGTATAAAAAAGATTGGTATCCTGAAAGTAATGTACAGTGTTGGAGGGTGTTATACAGGGTATAGAAAAATTGGTATACTGAAAGCGTTATACAGGTTATAGGAGTGTTATACATGGTTTAAAATGATTTGTATACAGAGAGAAGTGTCAGTGTATATAGGGTGTCATACATGGTATAGAAAGATAAGTTTACAGATAGTAGTGTACAGTGTATAGAGAGTGTTATACAATGGATGGAAAGATTGATATACCGAGTGGTGTATAGTAAGTATAGGGTGTTATACAGGGTATAGACAGATTGGTATACAGAGTGGTGTATAGTAATTATAGGGTGTTATACAGGNGTTATACAGGGTATAGGCAGATTGATATACAGAGAGTGGTGTATAGTAATTATAGGGTGTTATACAGGGTATAGGCAGATTGGTATACAGAGAGTGGTGTATAGTAATTATAGGTTGTTATACAGGGTATAGGCAGATTGGTATACAGAGTGATGTATAGTTATTATAAGGGGTTATACAGGGTATAGGCAGATTGATATACAGAGAGTGGTGTATAGTAATTATAGGGTGTTATACAAGGTATAGAAAGATGGTTATAAAGAGAGTAGTGTCAGTTTACATAGTGTGTTATACAGGGTATAGAAAAGGTGGTACAGATTGGTATACAGAGAGTAGGGTGTTATACAGGGTATAGACAAATTGGTATACATAGAGTAATGTAGTGTGTAGGAGTGTTATACAGGGTATAAAAAGATTGGTATAAAGGGAGTAGTGTCAGTGTACATAGGGTGTTATACAAGGTATAGAAATATTGGTATACTGAAAGTAATGTAGTGTATGGAGGGTGTTATACATGGTTTAAAAAGATTGGTATACAGAGAGTATTGTTGTGTTTATAGGGTGTTATACAAGGTATAGAAATATTGGTATACTGAAAGTAATGTGCAGTGTATGGAGGACGTTATACAGGGTATAGAAAGATTGATATACAGAGAGGGGTGTATAGTAATTATAGGGTGTTATACAGGGTATAGAAAGATTAATATACAGAGTGGTGTATAGTAATTATAGGGTGTTATACAGGGTATAGAAAGATTGGTATACAGAGAGTAACGTACAGTGTATAGAAGTGTTATACAAGGTATAAAAAGATTGGTATAAAGAGAGTAGTGTCAGTGTACATAGGGTGTTATACAAGGTAAAGAAAAATTGGTATACCAAAAGTAATGTACAGTGTATGGAGTTTGTTATAAAGGGTATAGACAAACTGGTATACAGAGAGTAGTGTCAGTGTTTAAAGGGTGTTATACAGGGTATAGAAAGATTGGTATACAGATAGTAATGTACAGTGTAAAGGAGGTTTATACAGGGTATAAAAAGATGGGTATAAAGGGAGTAGTGTCAGTGTTTAAAGGGTGTTACTGTATACAGATTATAGAAAGATTGGTATATAGAGAGTAAGGTGTTATACAGGGTTTAACAAGATTGGTATACAGAGAGTATTGTTGTGTTTATAGGGCTATATACAAGGTATAGAAATATTTGGTATATAGAGAGTAATGTAGTGTGTAGGAGTGTTATAAAGGTATATAAAAATGGTAAATAGAGAGTACTGCACAGTGTATAAGAGTGTTACACAGGGTATAGAAAGATTGGTATACAGAGAGGAATGGTGTATACAGTGTATGTAGGATGGGGAATAGTGTATACAGTGTATGTAGGATGGGGAATGGTGTATACAGTGTATGCAGGATGGGGAATGGTGTATACGGTGTATGTAGGATGGGGAATGGTGTATACATTGTATGTAGGATGGGGAAGGGTATACAGAGTATGTAGGGTGGGGAATGGTGTATACAGTGTAGGTAGGGTGGGGATGTGTATACAGTGTAGGTAGGAGGGGGAATGGTGTATACAGTCTATGTAGGATGGGGAATGGTGTATACGGTGTATGTAGGATGGGGAAGGGTATACAGAGTATGTAGGGTGGGGAATGGTGTATACAGTCTATGTAGGATGGGGAATGGTGTATACATTGTATGTAGGATGTGGAATGGTGTATACAGTGTAGGTAGGGTGGGGATGTGTATACAGTGTAGGTAGGGTGGGGATGTGTATACAGTGTAGGTAGGATGGGGAAGTGAATACAGTGTAGGTAGGATGGTGAAGTGTATACAGTGTATGTAGGATGGGGAATGGTGTATACATTGTATGTAGGATGGGGAATGGTGTATACAAGGTGATTGTAAATAACGTGCAATATCATGCAGTCTATAATAGTAAATACATGTAATACCTGTCTGTGATAGTAAATACATGTGTAATACCAGTCTGTGATAGTAAAAACATGTGTAATACTTACTGCGCTTAATTGTGATAGCATTAGCGCATGGATTGATGCATCCACAACTTATGCAATATATAATACAAAAAATATCCATAAAGTTTAAGGACATTTTTGTATTATATTGCATAATTTGTGGAAGCACCTATTAATGCACTAATCTGTTGAAATTTAATAATACGTTTAAGTACGAGTCATAAGTAATACTAACACATTATTTGTAATCCAAGTTCAGTTGGGCCTGCTCTCCTGCAAAAATTGTACTTCTGTAGAAACAGCCAAACGCAAACACTTAACATTGATGAGGGAAATGACGTAGTCGCTGGACCATACAAATTAGGACCCACACAGCAGCTGCTGCATGAAATAAGATTAATATTGATGAGGTAACTTTAACAGCCACAGGACCAGGATAAGTTCAGATCGTGTAGTACTTGTGGTGTAAGGGAGGTAAGTCTTACAGATTTCATAATATAATGTGTAGAGTTATCTCCCTTACACCACAAGTGACTATATGATGAATTTTGACTTCATTGTATGTAAATAAATGTTGAAAATAATTCCACCAGTAAGTTTCAGAGAAGTCTGCGATCCATGACCACATATGGTTCTGCTCTTTGGCCACCCGGTTAAGTCAGCCTTCTTGACTAGAAATGCTTATCCTTACAATCTTGGCACCATTTTATGAAATGTTGGTGAATATCTGCCAGTAAATTCTATGAGCAATATAAGTTAACATCTTCCAAGAAAACATTGAAAAAATGTAGAATTAATATATTTACATGTAGTGAGATGTTGAATGCCAACAGCATTCAATTACAGGTGAGCAACACAGTCCCATTGAGCCTCTTGTTATTTTCATTAAAGCCTATTCATGCAAGTGTAGAGGATCCATATTGGAATCTGAATCGTGCAGTATTTAATCGCTTTATTATATTTTAAATGTATCTGTATTTGATTTTCTATTTATATTAAGCTAAAAGGTACCACTAACAGGTAATTGTTATGAAGATTTCCACTTCAGAGCTTTATTTTTTTCTGACTTTAAGTATTCTGTCCAATATTTAGAAGATAACTTAAGTTTTTTTCTTTTTCTATGGTTAATTGGCAAGGTATTCATCTTTCACTGTTAATATGTGTATAGCAACATCAGTAGGCTTTGCAATGGATAATAAGGTTCCAATAATTGTTGTTTCCGAGATACAAGTTTCACGAACAAAAGTCATGTGATTTGGCAGTCACCTGGTGTATTAAGGGGGCGTGTATACTCCCGGTGTAAAGGTAAATGAACTGATCTCTCTATATTGCATTGCACCATGTGTTTTATATGGAAGAAGTCTGTAGAAAAACACTTCTGAATTCAACAGACATTACATAATATATTGTCAGTGGTACAAATATATTTTCAATTTAACAGTACTTAAGGATCTCTGTCCACTACACTGTGTTTTTTTACTTGTATATACTGTAACACAGACGAGCCAAGAGACTTCCGTTCCACGGGTAGCTAAATTCGTTGGGAGTGATGGCATAACAAGCTGAAGTCCTGGGTTAGAATCTCAGTCTAGCCCCAATTACATTTTTTAAGCTCTTCATGATATTTTTTTAAATGCCCGCAAGGTATTGTTTTCATTTCAGAGAATATTTATCAAAGCTATAGTCATTGGCTGGAAAAAACAGTAAAAGATGCATAGTTTTGTCAGTGGTATGGGGATCCTTAAAGTAGGATTTTCAAAAAGAAACAGCCATTACACAAGTCTAAATGTAGGTCATCCGATTACTGTAAACATACTTATTTTAGTGGAAATTCTATTTTAGTGTTTTTGCCTTCATTATGGTCATGCCAATTGAACTTACTCCGAATTTTTTTCTGTTTGATAAATTGTTTATTAAGAGCGCCAATTCATCAATGCATTGATTTGATCAAATTGGATGTGCTAAAATTTGAATGATAAAATAATTATGTTTACAGTGAATGCACTATACATATGACAAAGCGCTTTAAAAACATGATGAACAGACAATAAACACCATTTCTGGTTATTTTTACTTAATTTAATGGTGATTATAACCACAATTAAATTGGAAAGCCAATTACAGAAGCTATCAATGAGCGAAGATTGATAAATGATCAAGGCTTCATAACTTCAGCCTTTTCTGTGCCGGTTCACAAGCCTGCAAAACACAATGAAAAACAAAGTCACATTAAGTTTATGTACCTTCATGTCTAAAAATGCACATTTATATAATTTACATAGTGTCAAATGGAAATATGTAAGCCAAGGATTATGAATGATTGAGAAGTCCCAAAACATAAAATGACAATCCGATGATAAATTTATAATACAGCTGTAATAGTCTCTAAATTAAAACAAACATTACTATTAGTATCCCAGCCAGGTATCATACATGTATGTATAATCACAGACAAGTATTACACATGTATTTATAATCACAAACAGGTATTACACATGTATTTACTATCACAGACAGATATTAAACTCACAGACTGGTATTACAAATATATTTATTATCACAGACTGGTGTTACTCATGTACTTATTATCACAGACTGGTGTTACTCATGTACTTATTATCACAGACTGGTGTTACTCATGTATTTATTATCACAGACTGGTATTACTCATGTACTTATTATCACAGACTGGTGTTACTCATGTATTTATTATCACAGACTGGTGTTACTCATGTATTTATTATCACAGACTGGTGTTACTCATGTATTTATTATCACAGACTGGTGTTACTCATGTATTTATTATCACAGACTGGTGTTACTCATGTATTTATTATCACAGACTGGTGTTACTCATGTATTTATTATCACAGACTGGTGTTACTCATGTATTTATTATCACAGACTGGTGTTACTCATGTATTTATTATCACAGACTGGTGTTACTCATGTATTTATTATCACAGACTGGTGTTACTCATGTATTTATTATCACAGACTGGTGTTACTCATGTATTTATTATCACAGACTGGTGTTACTCATGTATTTATTATCACAGACTGGTGTTACTCATGTATTTATTATCACAGACTGGTGTTACTCATGTATTTATTATCACAGACTGGTGTTACTCATGTATTTATTATCACAGACTGGTGTTACTCATGTATTTATTATCACAGACTGGTGTTACTCATGTATTTATTATCACAGACTGGTGTTACTCATGTATTTATTATCACAGACTGGTGTTACTCATGTATTTATTATCACAGACTGGTGTTACTCATGTATTTATTATCACAGACTGGTGTTACTCATGTATTTATTATCACAGACTGGTGTTACTCATGTATTTATTATCACAGACTGGTGTTACTCATGTATTTATTATCACAGACTGGTGTTACTCATGTATTTATTATCACAGACTGGTGTTACTCATGTATTTATTATCACAGACTGGTGTTACTCATGTATTTATTATCACAGACTGGTGTTACTCATGTATTTATTATCACAGACTGGTGTTACTCATGTATTTATTATCACAGACTGGTGTTACTCATGTATTTATTATCACAGACTGGTGTTACTCATGTATTTATTATCACAGACTGGTGTTACTCATGTATTTATTATCACAGACTGGTGTTACTCATGTATTTATTATCACAGACTGGTGTTACTCATGTATTTATTATCACAGACTGGTGTTACTCATGTATTTATTATCACAGACTGGTGTTACTCATGTATTTATTATCACAGACTGGTGTTACTCATGTATTTATTATCACAGACTGGTGTTACTCATGTATTTATTATCACAGACTGGTGTTACTCATGTATTTATTATCACAGACTGGTGTTACTCATGTATTTATTATCACAGACTGGTGTTACTCATGTATTTATTATCACAGACTGGTGTTACTCATGTATTTATTATCACAGACTGGTGTTACTCATGTATTTATTATCACAGACTGGTGTTACTCATGTATTTATTATCACAGACTGGTGTTACTCATGTATTTATTATCACAGACTGGTGTTACTCATGTATTTATTATCACAGACTGGTGTTACTCATGTATTTATTATCACAGACTGGTGTTACTCATGTATTTATTATCACAGACTGGTGTTACTCATGTATTTATTATCACAGACTGGTGTTACTCATGTATTTATTATCACAGACTGGTGTTACTCATGTATTTATTATCACAGACTGGTGTTACTCATGTATTTATTATCACAGACTGGTGTTACTCATGTATTTATTATCACAGACTGGTGTTACTCATGTATTTATTATCACAGACTGGTGTTACTCATGTATTTATTATCACAGACTGGTGTTACTCATGTATTTATTATCACAGACTGGTGTTACTCATGTATTTATTATCACAGACTGGTGTTACTCATGTATTTATTATCACAGACTGGTGTTACTCATGTATTTATTATCACAGACTGGTGTTACTCATGTATTTATTATCACAGACTGGTGTTACTCATGTATTTATTATCACAGACTGGTGTTACTCATGTATTTATTATCACAGACTGGTGTTACTCATGTATTTATTATCACAGACTGGTGTTACTCATGTATTTATTATCACAGACTGGTGTTACTCATGTATTTATTATCACAGACTGGTGTTACTCATGTATTTATTATCACAGACTGGTGTTACTCATGTATTTATTATCACAGACTGGTGTTACTCATGTATTTATTATCACAGACTGGTGTTACTCATGTATTTATTATCACAGACTGGTGTTACTCATGTATTTATTATCACAGACTGGTGTTACTCATGTATTTATTATCACAGACTGGTGTTACTCATGTATTTATTATCACAGACTGGTGTTACTCATGTATTTATTATCACAGACTGGTGTTACTCATGTATTTATTATCACAGACTGGTGTTACTCATGTATTTATTATCACAGACTGGTGTTACTCATGTATTTATTATCACAGACTGGTGTTACTCATGTATTTATTATCACAGACTGGTGTTACTCATGTATTTATTATCACAGACAGGTGTTACTCATGTATTTATTATCACAGACAAGTATTACACATGTATTTATAATCACAGACAGGTATTACACATGTATTTACTATCACAGACTGGTGTTACTCATGTACTTATTATCACAGACTGGTGTTACTAATGTATGTATTATCACAGACTGGTGTTACTCATGTATTTACTATTTATATAGACTTCATGGTATTATACGTGTATTCACGATCACAGATAAGTGTAAAACAGGTGTTTTACCATCATAAATGGGTATTACACGTGCATATAATATCAGGGGGCCAGAGTGTCGGAGTGGTTAAGGTGTCAGTCCGACTATGATCACTAGCCTTCCACCAATGGGTCACAGGGTCAAGGCCTACTGGGGGCAATCAGCAGGTATGTACTGTCCACAGGTCAATGGTTTCTCTCTGGGGACTCTGACTTTCATTCACCACCAAATCTGGGCTCATCCTTATAGGACTATAGCTGTTAATAAGACATAAAACACAAACACCAAATATTCCATCAAAGACAAGTATTACACATGTATATACTATTCACAGCTACAACTTAGATTATCATTTGACTAATTAACTAAAATAATAATGTCTAAAATATATTTAAAATAAAAGAGATTTCTGTTTTCTGGCAGCCGTATTAACATAACGTTTCCTATAACAGGACCAAACAGGACAATAGGACTATCCAGGTCTACCAGGACAAAAGGACCATCTGAGAAGGACCAACCAGGATAACAAAGGACTTTGGGGATCCCAGAGGGATCTTGGTGCCCACCATTGAACCATCTTCATCAGTTCTCTGTCAGTTTGATCTTTCTGCGGCTATCTTATTAGCAATAACAAACTTTAACTGTCAAAATCCAAGATGGCCACCTGTCGACCACTTTGTTTATTCCCAAACACAAAAGCAAACATGCAAAATAATTGACCAAAGGAAACCTACATAACAAATTTGAGAAAGATTTATTGAGTACATACTTTCTGAGAAATAGCAATAACAAACATTCACTGTCAAAATCCAAGATGGTGCCTATCAGCCATCTTGGTTTTTCGAATCAGTCTCAAAATTAGATATTTATCACTAGAGACAAAGGGGAACCTTAATATCAAATTTGAGAACAATCCCTCAATTTGTTCTAAGAAATAGCAATAACAAACATTCACTGTCAAAATCCAAGATGACCATTTGTTGGCCATTTTGTTTATCCGATCAGTCTCAAAAGTAAACATGCACAATACAGACCAAGGTAAACCCACATATCAAATTTGAGAATGATCCCTCCAGTAATATCTAAGAAATAGCAATTACGGAGTTTAACTCTCAAAATTCAAGATGGTGCCTATCAGCCATCTTGGTTTTCGAATCAGACCCAAAACTCAATATGCATAACTTTCTGAGAAATATTGCTAACAAGAATAGTTTAAGGATGGAGGGAATGATGGACAGATGGACGACAGACCACAGACGAAGGGCGATTTGAATAGCCCACCATCTAATGATGGTGGGCTGATAACAGAACCATCAAAGGAAGACCGATCAGGACCAGAAGATTAACAGAATCATCAAGGACTATCAACAACAGGACTTCCCAAGGATAGGAGGACAATCCAGGACACGAAGCAGCAGCACCATCTCAGACTCTGGAACACAAGGACAAATCCAGGACCATCACAGGAGAACCAGCAACAACAGGACAATCCAAGAACAACAAACAACAACAGGACTGTCACCCCAGCAGAAGGACGAAGACAGTAGGACCATCCAAGAACTAAGGACAAATAATTATAGTAATGACATTTCTCACATATATGTATAGACAGTCATAAATGTTAACATCAAAGTCAAATATAATAAAGTTACAAGAAAACAGTGGTATTAAAATAATGGTATTACAAATTGCTATATCATGGTAGGTTCAGGAACCTTTTGCACAAACGTATTTGTACACCTGAAAATTTCAGCAACCATAACAAGATAAATTCATCACAGGCAATACTGCAAACCAGCATATTAAGGGTCAAATATTGTTACCCTATGCCTCATCCTTACAAGGTTTTTAACACATCTGACCCTTGTGACCTTGATAGAAGGTCAAGTTCATTTGTTTCCAACAGCTTTATAGCACTCCATCCCAGAATGCTAAATGTCAAATATGATCACATTTTGCATCACGCCCAGTTATTCAGATGCCGTTTGAATGTTTCACGATACATTTTTAACGGCTTAAATTTACAGCCCAGAGAAGATGTTCCTGGAAAGTTTGCACTTATTTGACCTTTGATTGACCTTATAGGCGAAGGTCACAGCAGCATAATGACAATGTGAATCTACATATATTATTTGGGGGGGAGGGGGAGGGGGGAGGGGAAAGAGATTTTCCGAAACAGAATGCATTTGGTGGTCACAATTTAAACTCCATGGCAGTGCATGCATTTGATATGAACACTCGTCAATTCTTAATAAAAAAATAAAAAAAGATTATGCAAGTAATGATGCATATTTTACAATAAATCACAATAAAATCTGCTTGTATTCAGAAAACAAAACTACTTTGAAACCAAAATGAAAGGTTCCCCAAAATGAAAGGTTCCCCATTGAGGACCCCTGCTAAAATGTCGTATTTTGAAGACGGAGAATCGAAGATCTAACACGTATAGGATCAAATTAAAATGTAAGTATTCTAGCCTTAAAATCAAGGTCACTGTTGCTAAAAATAGAATTTTGCTTAATTGATAAATCATAAAAATCTCAAACTTGGTGTGGGGAAGCCACTTGTGGGGGCATGGTCCACCAGAGGTAAAGGTCATGATTGCCTAACCCTTACAGTGCTGTATATATATTTAGTGTATGGTCCCGCCATTGCTGAATTAATTATGGAAACTAATCATAATCTACTCGTCAAGATACTAGTAATAAAAGTAACATATGAAATGATCTTGGACTCTAGATCTTGTCTTTGATCAACATCTCGAACCATCTTTGTCATGTTGTTTTACCTGTACAGGTAAAAATACAGGTGAAAAACTTGCATTAAATTAATCAATCAAAGTAAAAAAGATTGTGAATTCACCTGTCCAGGTGGTTAATTATTGTATAATACTCAAAATCAATTAGTAGTTAATAATTTAATTCAATCTGATTTATTAAAAAAAATAGAGTCTGAGTTGTCAGTGTAAGCTACCATGTTTGTTTAACCCTTCAAACCACTCGGGTGATAAACGAGGTCAACTACCTTGGTAAGGTATTAATAATTGAAACACGACACACAATTGAACAGATATGTTCCCTTTTAACCAATCAGAAGATGTTATGAGCGCCCATGGTTCAAAGAAGCTTCTAGAACATTTCATAGCATGTTTACCTGAAGATCGATTATAGTGGCGACCAGCACTGGTGGACTGCGATGTGCGGTCCAACATTAGTCAGGACACACACTCTATAGGTTAAAATAGTGTATTCCTTGGTTGATTTTGTCCCAATTATACAAATTATGAATGAGTTGCATGGCCAAGTATTTCGCACAAAGGAGCACAGCTCCAACAAAAAAGGTAGAAGTCCCAAATTAAAATGCCAATGCACAACAACTACATAAGATATCCACCATTCATGCAAAGTTTCAATGAAATCCACCCGTTAGTTAAGGATGAGTTTTCTGTACAAGTTACTGGTTACTGCGGACGACAAACAGACAGGGTGATTCTAGTATAACCCTCC